CAGGGGGCAAGCCCCCTGCATTTCACAATGATTTTATGTTTTGGCAATTAGGATTGATATTATAATTACTTGAAAACAATTTTTTGCAAGGGTTTTAAGTGGTCATACGTGAGTTCTGTTGCAAAAATTGTGGCAGTTTAGTACTCAGATCAGTGCATCTGTGTGTGGGTGCCAGAGTAAAAATATTCCAAGCATAGTTTAAGTTTTAAGAATATTTACAGGAAACAGGAAACTATAAGCGTGATTTGTACAATTACTTACAAGGCTGATTGCAGAAAAGGACGACAAAACTACATTTAAAAAATAAAACTTTAAAAAAGTAGCATACTTTCCTCTCATCGCTCTGTTGATAATGTGAAGTTTGAATTGTCTAAGACGACCGCTCATTGCCTAGGCGACAATTTTCGACAGGTTGACACCTTATACTTATACACGTTACAGTGTTATTTTAATGTTTAAAAAAACCCAGCAAACAAACAAACAAACAAACAAAGTAAATAAACAAATGAATTAATAAAAATTTAGGTAGGTTTTGGTTACCACGATTCACCCAAGAAACGTATATCCTGGAAGCAAACGTAGAAGGCAAGAGAGGAAGGGTGCAAGACCTTACAGAAGATACAACATGACGTATGGAAGCTTGGCTAGGAACCAAAACAACTCAGGCGGGAAGAATGGCAAGAGACAGGAATAAGGCCCGAGAAAGAGCATCCCACATCGTCTCAGACAGCATCATCATTGCCTTTCTCACCCTGCACCAGGGTATAGGCCGCGGACAAACACCTTCCACCTTTCTCTATCCTGGGCTAGCCTCTTGAAGTTATTTCATGTCTTCCCACTTTTCAGCACATCTATTTCTGTGATTCTTCTCCAGGTTCCACGCGATCTTCCCCTTGATCTCTTACCCTGTGGGTTCCAATCCAAAACTTTCTTTGTTATGCAGCTTCGCCTGACTTCCTGAGAGTATGTCCAATCCATCGCCACCGCCTTCTTCCTACCTCATATCTGACTGGGATCTGTCTTGTTTTCCTTAACATTTCCACATTGGTGACCCTACGTTCAAATTGGTGTTGTAAAGGTAGATCTAGTGCCTCTTAAATATCAATTCAGCTTATTGTGTTGTTCAATATTTCTTCCTTTTTGTATGCAAATCAAACCAAATTACTCTGTAAAATTTCAACAATGAATGTTCTCTCTTTAAAAACAGTTGAAAAATAAAATTCAATTCATGCTATCAATCAATCATTCATTTACTCCTTTTGAGAGTGTCAGTGATAACTTCCATCATGCAGGGCACAGTCGAGGCGAGGAGGACCTGTGACAAACTGACATGCTTCACTTAAGCCTACCGATGCGCACAGAAGACTTGAGTTCGATGATCCCGCATGGGGAAGTAATTTTATCGAGTACCGGTACCTCTTTCTGTCTACTAGGGTGCATTGTTTCACATATCCCTTTTTTTCTTCTTCCTTTTCTTTTTTTCTTTTTTCTTTCTTCTTTTTTTTTTGGTTGTAGATTTAACTACACTACGGCATTCGCAACTGCATATGGTCATATGAGCGCGTGGGACACATTAAACATTTTCAGTTGGTAGGAAATTCTGTGCGGTGGCAGAGAAGTTAGTGCGCTCGTCGCCGAAGCGGAAAGTCCAGGTTCGAGCCTTGCTTCTGGAACGGATATTTTTCGCCCCCTCCTGATTGCCCAGCAGAGAAGGCTAGGTGTAGATTTTACCTACTATAAGATCAGGGGTGTGGCTGAAAGACAGCAGTGAGAAGGAGCCAAGGAGTAGCAGTGGATCATCGCCGACTGGCGGGAGGAGGGGGGGGGGGGGGATCATGGACCTCCACTTCACTCTGTTTTACATTGCAGCGATGGTGTCTGTAGCTCTTGCTGTTCCCAGCCACTTTATCAACCTGTCCAGTATCTTTTCCCTCTGTCTGCCTCTGCCTCTTTTTCCAACAAACTTGTCTGTTTTTATAATATTCTTCAATGCTTCTTTCCGCATTGTGTGTCCAATGAACTTTGCCTGTCATTTTCGTATATTCGTCATAAGCTTTCGTCTGCAATTTGCTTCAACCAAGACTTAGCAATAGATGGGCTGCAAAAAGAGACAGTAGCTAGCGCAGAGGAGGGGGCAAGGGAGGTGAGTGGGTGGGGGCAGAAAGTGAAGACGAAAGCAGACGACAGAACATTGTTTGAGAGCAGGAAAGGATGTGTAAGGAGAACATTTTAGAAAAGAAAGTGTTTCGTCGATATCTGGATTCGAACCCGGGACCCATTGGAAGAGAGGCTCTTAACCTCTAGACCACGAGAATCCCAATTGTTCTACCCAAGGAAATCGTAAAGATTAATTGTTAAGAAGACTAAGAAGTCGAACTAGATCTACACTTGATTGTTTTGCTGTCCATCATCATGTTTTAATGCAGAAAAAAAATATACTTTAGGCTTTAATAGGGTTGGTCACGTTAAATCAGATATTCGAATAGGCTTGGATGTTCAACGTTTCGCCAATAAGGCTTCATTAAGTCGAAGCTCGGAAAAAGAAAAGCGAAGTCGTTACTGCCATGGTCCTGGCTGAGCGTATAGATACGTTAAAATTGCTCACAAATACATGTAGTGTTAAAAGCTTACACGGAACTTTCATCATCGTCGTCATCATTCCGGAACCGAGTGTAAATAAAATTCTAAAAGAATAGTGGAGACTAGGATTTAGTTTAGGAATTTTTCTTCGTTATAAAAAATAGTTCATCGTTCACCCCACTGAGGCTTCAGAAATATTGC